CGGTTGCCGCTTTTAAATATGGGCGCAACGGTCGAGTACTTCCACATATGCGGAAAAATTGCATTTGACTGGAGTAGGGTGAATGACTTAGATAGGAGTATTGGAGCATATGTCATATGCTTCAGAATACATGGTGGGATTTTGTCTGTCCCATAGGATTTGGTGTTTGATGGCTACTTTATCAGTTTCTTCACTAAAATGGATCTCACTAAGGATGCGTTCAGTCATCTCGGTCGGTTGGGCGATGGTTCCCTCTTCGACTGTGTAGTTAGCTGAGAAGTATCTGTTGAATAAGTTTACTATTTGATTATCATTGGTTATAACTTGTCCTAATTCATTAATAATAGTTCGTGGTCCTGACTGTCGATGATTACTCATTAGTTTCTGAAACATCTGAGCTGTTCGTTCGGGGGATTCTAGTGCCCGATGTTCTGCTGCTATGGTCTTTTGTGTTTCTATTTTCGTGACTAGGTCGTGAATTTCCCTAATTCGTCGAAGTGTGGAAAATAACTCACAGAGGGGTCGCGTAGCTGTTTTTGTAGCTTTTTTAGTTTAGTTGAAAGGAAGTTCGGGATTGGTGATTTCTTTTACGGGAGTCTTTTATCTATCAATGTATCTCGAATTACAAATAGGACAGAGTATAATAGGTTAACTGCTTCCATAGGGGATGTTGTAAGAAGATATGGGCTCCAGTCCAATGATCTGATATAATTGTTCACGGAGTCCTCGTCAAGTTTTTTGGGTTTAGGCGGGTGTTACTAAAATGGGGTGCTAGTTTTGCGTTTAAGGGGAGTGTTGATATTACTGCTTTGTGGTCACTTTCAAAGGTTGCGCAGTCGTAGTGCATATAGAGGGGCCAGATATCGTTGTTGAAAATAACGTCTAGTATATTGTTTCCTCGGGTGGGTTTGTCAACTATTTGTGTCCAGTTATTAAAGGTAATTGAAGACAAGAATTCTTCGTGCCTGGTAGGTGCTGATAATTCGACCCAGTCTATCTCTGGGCGGTTTAGGTCGCCTGCAACTATCTTATATTCAGTTTTTATGTTAGCTATATCGTTTACTAAGCGGATGAGGCTTGTGTCATCATAACTACATTCTGGAGGGGAGTAGAGGCATCCGACTACTATGTTTTCTTGGGCATGAGATTTTATTGTGGCAAAACACGCTTCTCCAGCAAAGGTTTCAGTTGGGACATCAATACCACTTTGCTCAATGCTAGTTTTTATGTAGATAAGACAACCTCCGCCTCGTTTATTAACACGGTCCTGTCGATAGAAATTATAATTTGGGACATATAGTGAAGCATTCGATATAAGCTCATTTGCCCATGTTTCTGTAATGCAAATTACATCGGAGTTATATATTTCAACAAAAGTTCTAAGTTGGGTTATTTTGTTGACAATCGATGTGGAATTTATAAGAGCTATCTTTAGGATGTTGGATGTGGAAGAGGTGGGCTGTGGTGAAAAAAAGGATTTCTGGGGGTACTTTGAGTGAGTGATGGACTAAATGGAGGTAGATGTGTGATTCTTGGAGGATATGGTGATGCGTATGGCGTAGTGTGAGTGCATGGGCTAGTGTGTATGGACTGAGGGTACATATGGGGAGGTGCGTTAACTAGGTGGTAATTGTATCTAAATGGTGTTTCAGTTGGGGAGGTTTACGCTGGCCTGTGTATTTCTTTTTATCAGTGCAAGAAGCAGAAGTAGTGGCTAAAGGTTCAGTTGGGGGACCGGAGTGCTGATTATCGTATTTGTAGCTGGTGTCTTTTTCCCGAAGTTTACGTCTTTGCATAGGTGTCAAATCTGGACCTATAAACGAGTTTGGGCTCAGCAGATTACTATTTACTTCGGCATTTTGTAGGACAATCTCAGCTTCCGCCTGTGAGTAGAAGGTTACTAAGAGGGGTTTGTTTTTGCTTCTGGAGTGAAGTCATTTCGTGTTAGCTACTCTGATATTTAAGCCACACGAATGTATAAAATTTTGAATTGATGGCGTCGGATTAACGGTGTGGGGTATATTACGGATAATTAAATTGTTCTCAGTCATGCTGATGGACGCCTACCGCGATGAACGCCCCGGGATCCGCATAGCCTACAGGACGGACGGTCACCTGCTGAACCAACGGCGGATGCAATTCCAGTCGCGCGTATCCACAGCCACCGTCCACGAACTCCTCTTCGCCGACGACTGCGCCCTGAACACCACCTCGGAAGAGGAGATGCAACGCAGCATGGACCTGTTCTCCGCCGCCTGCGAGAACTTCTCTCTGGTCATTAACACGCAGAAGACGGTGGTGATGCACCTACCGCCATTCAAATCAGCCACAACACCCAACGCGCCGCCGCAAATCAGCGTGAACGGAACCCAACTGCAAGTGGGGGCGAACTTCCCGTACCTGGGCAGTACTCTCTCCCGCAACACAAAGATCGACGACGAAGTCGCCAACAGGATCTCGAAAGCCAGTCAAGCCTTCGGTCGCCTCCAAAGCACAGTTTGGAATCGTCATGGTCTCCAACTGAGCACGAAGCTGAAGATGTACAAGGTTGTCATCCTGCCGACGCTACTGTATGGAGCGGAGACTTGGACGGTGTACTCGAGGCAGGCACGCCGACTGAACCACTTCCACCTCAGTTGTTTTCATCGCATCCTGAGGCTGAACTGGCAGGATCGCATCCCCGACACTGATGCGCTGGAACGAACGGGAATGCTCAGCATCTACTCCATGTTGAGACAAATGCAGCTGCACTAGAGCGGCCACCTGGTGCGCATGGACGACGAGCGACTACCCAAGACTCTTCTACGGAGACGTCGCGACGGGTTCTCGTCGTCAAGGAGGCCCAATTCGTCGATAAAAGGACACCCTGAAGTCCTCCCTGAAGCGTCTGCAAATCAACCCCACCAACTGGGAGGAGCTCGCACTCGATTGACCGACATGGAGGAGGACAGTGAAGACAGGCGCTGCGATCTACGAAGCGAATCGCATCGCCGCCGCCAAAGCGAAACGTGAAGCCCGCAAATCACAACTTCGCCCAGTCCGCAACGCCGCCGCACAACCGCTTCCAATGTGTCCTCGATGTCAACGGATATTCCGGGCTCGAATCGGACTTGTTGGACATCTTCTGATTAACTGTAACTCTCGAACTGCACCAAACTTCATCCCCCCGCCATCCTCTTCCTCCTCCTCTTCGCCGCCAACTAACCCTGACAATTCTTCGCACCCACCACTTCCATCATCCTCCTCGGCCTCCTTCGCCTCCTCCTCCT